CATCACCCTTGCTGCGCAAGGGGAAGACTGTGGTGTAACGCGAGTATTCGTCAACCACCAGCAGGAAGTAGCGCTCGTGACCCTGTCCACGGACGCGGGCCGGGCCCCACACGTCCATGTGAAGCGTCTGCAGCGGGGCCTCTGTCGGAGGAAACTGGGAGGAGTGAGGGGCAGCACGCTGCCGCCCCTCGACACAGGGGACGCAGGTAGGGGCAGGCCCCGGAGGAAGAGGAGGGAGGGACCGGGGAAGACCAGAGACAAGGACACGGGAGGCCATGCCTCGGAGACGAGGCAGGGAGGGGTGACCAAGGCGGTGGTGCCAGAGGAGAGTCTTGTGAGACAGGAGGCGACACGAGCAGGGGGCAGACTCAGGACCAGACCTGGACGCTGCAGCAAACACCTGACCCGACGCATCTACCTGACCAGACGCAGTGACTGGAGGAGACTCAGTGGTCAGTGTGTACAGGCTCGACCCCGGCCGACGTGTAAACGTGGCCAAGTGTCGGCCCGTCCGAGCGTCCGTGCAGTGGGTCACACGCTGGCTCGCAGGAGTGAACTGGTGAACCCCCGCATCCTGTAGGTCAGCACCACTCACCAAGTTCGTAGAGAACGAGGGGAGGTAAAGACCAGACAGGGTGCCAGAGGGGGCCGCCGGACACGGGAGGACAGTGGAGAAGTGAGCAAGGACAGGACCCCCAGAGGGGTCTGCCAGAGAGACTGCAACTGGCCGACCAAGCGGCGTGATTGTGGTGCGGTCTCGAAAGAAGGAGCGAGAAGCCCCCGAGTCAAGAGTGAAGGTGTGGGAGGCCGGAGCCGACGCAGTACCTGAGAGAGCTGACTCACCAGCACCTGAGGAAGCAGACGCACTGGCACCTAGAGCAGCAGCCTCGCTAGCACCTAGAGCAGCAGCCTCACCAGTACCTAGAGCAGCAGTCCCAATGCCCGGGTCGGGCGGAAAACACCCGTAACAGTCACCCTCATCACTAATAGTCACAGCATACATGGCAGCAAGAATAGCATCAAAGTCAAGGTCAAAGATAGCTACTCCTGCCCTAGACAGCTCGCCCCAGCGAGGGATCTCAGTGGCCTCAGGGAACTGGTGACGCCAAGCGTCCGTCAGGCGGCCAAAGCAGCGCTGGGTGGAGTGCGCACCCCCGCACGGCTCACCCGCGCGGTCGCCGGTGCGTAGGACGTAGGTGCACGGACCAGTACCCCCACCCCGCTGGCGTGCAGCGTACCACTCACGAAGCTGCTGAGGGGGGGGGATCTCACGAGTGCGCTGCTGCTGCTGCTGCTGCTGGCGCTGACCACCACCGGAGCCGACCCTCTGCGCAGCGCCACCCCGACCAGCTCCACCTCCTCCGCCGCCGCCTCCTCCACCGCCGCCACCTCCGCCACCTCCGCTCCCACCGCCACCGCCGCCGCCGCCTCCGCCTCCACTGCCGCCACCGACGCCCCCACCCCCGCCACCACCCCCACCGCCACCCCCACCCCCTCCGCCGCCTCCACCGCCGCCTCCACCGCTCCCGCTAGCTAGTCCAGCGCCCCTGCCCCCCTTGCCCTTGCCAGTGCGGCGTCTCCCGCTAGGGGCAGACGCCGCACCGACCGACTCAAGACCAACGAGGTCGGCCGCAGCAGCAGAGGCAACAGAGGGCAAGAGAGGAGAGGGGGAGCACCCCTCAAAGACAGGGGCACGAGGGTCACCACGAGAGGCTCCTACAGCGACTATGCTCTTCTCTGCTGCTAGGAGGCGCTCCTCGAGGAGGTCAACGGTGAGGGTGGTGGGGCAAACAGAGAGAAAGTGGTCCCTGACCGGGCGAAGGGTGTCAGGGAGCCGGGTGACTACGTAGTAGAGGGTGATGTACATAGGGGGGGGGTTCTTGGCGCAGAACTCAGAAGGAAGGGCAGCGCGGTAGCGAGTGTCACTAGTGCGCAGGTGCGTAATGAGGTCAGCGACTGTGGGAAAAGCGGCGAGGTCAGGGAAGAGGTACGGCAGGATGAGGCGGCTAAGTGCAGCAGTGGCAGGGGAAGAGTAGCGTGCAACTACAGCGTCGTACAAGGTCTTAGCACTCTTGTACTGACTAAAGTGTGCACGCTCAGCGGTAGGCAAGTGGCGGCGCACAGCAAGACGGGCAGCAGCGTCGCGTGTGGCCCACTGTGAGCGAACAGTGGCGTCAGCATCAGCAGCAGGGGCAGAAGAGGCACCAGAAGTGAGGTCAAAGAGAGAGAGACCGTCTGCCCTGTCGCACTGTAGGAAAAGCTGCAGGTCATCTACCCAGACGTCAAAGTCAATGGCCCGACCCTCAGCGTCAAAAGCGAGGACACTGGGGGTAGCCATGACAGCAGTAGACTAGCAGCTGGAGCAGTAGGGTAAGGGCATCGCAGTGGTAGAGGTGCCGCTCTTACCGGACAGGGCGGCTCGGGCGGCTCGGCGGCTCGGCAGCAACTGCAGCTCGGCGGCTCGGCGACTCGGCGGCTCGGGCGGCTCGGGCGGCTCGGCGGCACGGCGGCTCGGCAGCAACTGGAGCTCGGCGGCTCGGCGACTCGGTGGCTCGGGCGGCTCAGGTGGCTCGGCGGCTCGGGCGGCTCGGGTGGCTCGGGCGGCTCGGCAGCAGCGGCGGCTCGGTAGATCGGCGGCTCAGCGGCGCCGGCGGCTCGGTGGTGACGGCGGGGCCGCGTGGGGACGGCGGCGGGGCCAGGTGGGGCGGCGACGAGGCCGCTGAGGGCGGCGGCGGGGCCACGAAGGGTGGCGACCGGCGCCTTAAGGGTGGGGCCGCGGGGTCGCAAGGGTGGGGCGACGGGGCCAGCAGAGGCGGCGCCGGGGCCGGGGAGGGCGGCGCCGGGGCCGGGAAGGGCGGCGCCGGGGCCGGGAAGGGTGGCGCCGGGGCCGCAAGGGTAGGCGACGGGGCCGCGAGGGCGGCGTGGAGGGGTCGCGAGGGCGGTTCGAGGAGGCCGCGAGGGCGGCGCGAAAGGGCCGCGAGGGCGGCGCGAAAGGGCCGCGAGGGCGGCGCGACGCGACGGGACCGCGAGGGCGGCGCGACGGGGTCGCAAGGGCGACGCGACGGGGCCGCTAGGGAGGCGCGACGCGACGGGGCCGCTGAGGCGGCGCGACGGGGTCGTAAGGGCGGCGCGACGGGGCCGTGAGAGGGGAGCGCGACTCGGGCAGAGGCTGAGCGCGCTCCGGGCAGGAAAAATAAAATTTGGTGGGCCCTAGGAACAGTTCCCACAGGGGAACCTGCTCTATACCATGTGAAAATGAACGAGGAGTGAATGACTAAGGGAAAGTTGGGTACAAGTACAAACCCTAGAAAGCTGTACCCCATATGTGCTACCCCACTATAGCCTACAGCAGCTAAGTCATATAAATCTGACAAGCATGTCAGAATCAGCAGTCAGAAACAAGAATGAAGAAAGGAGGGATTGCACTAGCAGCAGTTGGCATACATATAGGAAACCCTAATTGGGTTGTACTCGCTATAGAGTACCCCACTGCAGGCTAGACAATAATAACATTCTGACAAGGGAATCACTCACTGCCAAGTTGCGCGAGAATCAGACTCGCGACCCTATATGTTTTCGACTCGATTACAATCGGCAGAACGGGATCTACTGTTTGGTGCAAAGCAAATAGAAATTCATATTTGCCATTCTATAAACGCCGGCGCTTATAAATTTCCTCAATTATAAGCGCCCCCCCTAAAAAACAATGTTTTTTTATACCCCCAGGGGCGCTTCTATCCGGGGGCTGACGGTATACCCCTTCGTAGAGTCGATTCGATATCTAGCCCGTTTCATGAACAAGTACGTCTCTGAATAGGTACGTTCGTAGACTATAAATCTCTTGTATCTCTTCTTTATTATTTAATTATTGTTCTCACAATATAAGAGCACTGAAATTCAAGTCTTCCGCTGCAATACTTTACAAAGACTAAGGGTACATTCCGCTCTGGACATGTCCCAATCGAAAGTGTCTGAATCGATTCTACCGCACTGCATCGTATTACACCCAATTACACCATAGTTTCAAACATTGTCGAAATTTTCGCGTCTCTGGTTTAGTTCGGTTCGGAGCGGTACACTCGATTGGGACACTTTCTTTGAGACAGTGTCCTGCGCGGAATGTACCCTAACTAAACTCTAAAAGATCCTAAGACATTTTTTCAGTTCAACAAATGTCTAGTACCGTATGGCCCCGGATATAAGCGCTAGCATATTAGAGCGTATTCCTATCCTCGTATCAAGAAAACCTCATATCAAGATTGTACTTTTTGCCTGGTAAAAGTAGCGAGAGGTTTTGGGTTTAGGGGAATTTTCAGTGGGAAGTTGATATGAGGTTTTCTTGATACGAGGATAGGAATACGCTCTTATAAGCGCATGCGCTTGTATCTGGAGCAATGCGCTTATGGCCGATCCTCATTTATAAGCGCACCCCTTGTAAAACCATGACATATTATAAGCGCATGTATAATTTTATTTTTAAATCCTGATAAACACAGTAACGAAATTCAGTTTTGCAGCGAGTCACATCCATTTTTACATTGTTTGACTCTCTCGAGGATCTCACTGGCTTCGAGTCCAGTCAGGATGAGCTGGCACGCCTGCAAAGTGACGTGCCAAGGCTCTTTTCACTGGCAGAGAATCGCCCATGCGCGATTCTGACTTCGGACTCTCTCACATCACAATGCGTTTCAATTGAGATCGCAAGACTGAGATGTACAAGTTGGTGCGTGTAAAATATATTTCTGTAATTGTCATTATATAAGCGCATGCGCTTATATTTTTTACTCAATTCCAAGCGCACCCCCCTAAAAAAACACGTTTTATTATAAGCGCAGGTGCGCTTATATCCGGGGTGATACGGTATTAAAAAAATCATAAGGGCTTTCTCTCAGCCCATCGGAGTATTGCCGTTTCATCCCGCACAAAAACAGGTGGCGGGGAGGGGATGTGAAGCGAACTGCTTTTACGGTAGTACAAATAAAAATGCACTAGAAGCTAACCTAAAGCGTGGACACTACGCACCACTGGCACACGCGAGGAACACCCGCGTTGCCAAACGGCCGCACGGGCCTCCACACTGCCTCCTGCAACACAACCTCACTGCCTGCACCGCCTTCCACACCTTCCACACCCTCTCCATCTCCATGCCCACCCGCAGGTGCTGGTATTCCATTCCCCTGCTGCTCATGTGCAGGTGCATGCATGTTGGTACTAGCATTCTCTCTGATACCCGCTTGCCCCGCTTCACTTCTCCACACAGGCCCCTCTGCTCCGCCAATGTCCCCTTGGTACGAGTGGCTGACACTCTGCCTGCTCGTCTCGTTCTCAGCCATTCCCCTCCCCAGAAGCCCCATTGCTGGGTCAGCACGAAGTTCCATTGCCAGTATGCCATGACCGTCTATGCCTCTTTGCGCCTCATCGCCTCCTTGCCTAACCCCATGGCCCCTTCCATCCCCTCCACTGCTTCTCACAGACTCCCCCCCTCCCCTGCCCCGCTCATGCCTCACCTCCTCCCCTTCCTGCACGCCCCACATCCTAGGCTGGAAAACATTCACATACGGTGTTCGCTGCAGGAACCTTCCAGGATCCAACCCCACTCCTCCATCAACCCCTGCCGCCTCGACGCCCCCCTCCACCAGCAGTCGCCCATTCACTCCCACCACCCCAAATCCCCGGAACCCGCACACAGGAAGCTTCCCAGCGTCCCGCCAGGAGTTGGTATGAGGCAGGTACTGTAGCACGTGGTGGCACATGGGGGCCACGTGGTTGGTGAGAACAAGCTGCCCATTGGCTGTGGTCACCCGCGTGGCCACCAGCCCTGCCACGTTGCTTGGTAGCATACTAGGCACCACACGCCATGCAGGGGAAGGGGACGTGCAACCCCACGAGTGCGTCCCACTGCCTCCTCTCTCAACCTCACCACTCGCCCTCCCCGTGCTCACATCCCCTGTCCCGTGCCCTTCCCTCCTTCCTCCCCAGCCTTCCTTACTCCCCCTCCTGCCACGCTCCGTCCCCCCCAGAGCAGCAGCAACAGCAGCAGCCAGTGCAGGCGCGTCCAGCACCTGAGCAGACAATGTCCGTGTGGCGCACAGGGACGAGGTGGAAACCACCCAGAAGCTTTCATCCGCCAGCACGAGGCCCTGCGCGGAGCGAGTGGGGTGGGGCAGCGCGGGCAGGGGCAGCCAGCGGTTGGTGGTGGGGTCGTATAGCTCTGCTGCCTGCAGTGCGTTGTCACCCACCACTGCCCACTCCCTCGCCTCCCCCCCGCTACCATCACTGCTGCCACTATCGGTACTAAGGGCAGTGGGTGCGGTATCAGTAGCAGCAGCAGCAGTGGTGATGCCAGTGCCGCCGGCCACGATGATGCGCCCGGAGGAGGGCAGCACGGCAGCAGCGAAGTTGAAGCGCGGGCATGTCATGTCCGCTAGCCGCCGCGCCTTGCCGATTACCACGTTGTAACGCCACACTGCCCTCGCTGGGAGAAATGGAAAGGGGAGGGGAGATGGGAAAGGGGGGGGGGGGGGGGATTGGGCCAAAAAGGTTGAACGGTGGAAAACAAGAGGCTATCGGCTAATGGCTAATGCGAGAGTGTTCTGAGTGTCGCTATCCCATCTCACCACCTCACATCATTCACTCTGCCCTCGCTCTCCTTCACTCCCTCCCCGCCCATGCCCCACACCACCTTGCACCAACTCCTCCTCACCCCCCACCGCACTCACATGGACCGCACAAGCCCCCTACAGGCACACATCACGCAGAGTTACAGGAGCCACGCAGCAGCAGGAGGCTTTTTCGAGACGTCTCATGAATATCAACCCCCCAGCGCACTCACATGGGCCGCACACGCCTCCTCCCGGCGTGCAGCAGGCGGAGCTACAGGATCCCCCGAGCAGCAGGAGGCAGGGCCCCAGGGCGAGCAGCGTGGAGGAGTGGCAGATGCCGCGCATGGGCGGCAGGCACCCGTGGCTGTACCACCGCTGCGCTGCTGGGTCGTACGCCCACAGCAGCGCCAGGGAAGACGAGGTAGCTGCGGGGGCTGTGGTGTATGGGGAGAGGGAGGCGGAGCGGGCGCGGGGGCTGTTGCTGACGGCTGTGCGCTGCTGCTGCTGCTGCTGCTTCTGCAGCAGCACGTGTGCTCTGGTCCGGTTCTTGGCTGCGGCAGCGTGGGCGTGAGAGGCTGCTAGCGGAGGGACCTCGTCTTGTGCTGCACGGCCACGCCCTTCCCGTGCCGCTGCACTGCCCGCAACCCCCCCGCTTTCCTCATCCCCGTCTCTTACCTCCTCCCCGTTCCCCCCGTCCCCCACTTCCTCTCTGCTCGCAACATCGTCCTCCCCTCCCCCCTCCACCCCCCACTCCCGCCGACCGCTGTCCCCTAGGTCCACGCTGCTTACCCCCACTCCTCTCACTGTCGCCGTCGTCGTCGCCCCGCCTCCTCTACGACCTCCCCCGCCCCACACCCCCGCGCCGCTGCTGCCGCCGCCACTGGTACTGCCCGCAGCTTGCACGCTACAGCTGCGCCTGCCGCCGCCGCCGCCGCTACAGCCGCCTTTGAACATCCACTCGACGGCGAACAGCCACGACTCGCTGCGACCGTCCGCGCGACGCAGGCGAAGGAAGTCAGGGCAGGCGACGAGGCGACGCCACGTGCGACAGACGGCGCGCATCCTGGGCCAATCGGCGCGCGGCAGGCGGATAAGGCAGTGCAGTAGCACGTCGGCGGGCAGTGCCGCAATCGGACATGCGGCGGCGGGAGGGGGGGAGAGGTGACGAGGTGACGGAAAGGGCACGGCTTGAGATCCAGAAGCGGGGTGACTTGTATCGGGGAAATGCAGTGCAGCATGCGAGGAAGAGCCGTCTATCCTGCTGGTACCGACGGCGTTCGTCGGATCGGGAACGGGCGCGAGTGAGGGAGTGGCCGCGTCGCAGCCACTAGCGGCGCGTAAACGGTGGTTCCAGAGGGACAGGTCTGACGTGGCTGGTGCGTCGACTGCCACGTCGGCTTGGACTGCGTGCGAAGCAAGCGGAGGGTCCGCGGGGCGAGCGCTGGTGCAACTACGACGGCGATGCTGGTGGGTGGCTCGACGCGCAGCTTCCTGGAAAGAGAGACGACGACGACGACTGCCGGTGCGGCTGCGCGTTCCAGTGCTGCCGCTGCTATCGCTGCTACCTTCGCTACTGCTGCTGCCGCTGCTGTTGCTGTTGCTGCTGCTAGTACCACTCGCGTCTTCGGCGCTCGGCGCTTCCTGCTTCGCACTGGCTGACTGCTGCTGGCCCATGACCACGGAACGGGACACGCAAGATAGATTGAGTCTGCTACAATGAAAACCACACCTATCCAAAATCTGCTGTGAATCTAGCTTCCTGGGTGAAAATAACCATTTGAGGTGACAGGGGGCGTGAGCGGAGGCCTGAAGGTGAGTATTTGTTGCACGCACGACGTCCATGTTCAGTTCCCTGCTTGGAGGGAAGTATCGATCGGCTCGGCGATGTAAAACGTGGGCTGTCGAGGGCCGGGCCTGGCACGCAACTTCTTTCGTACGCCAATCAGACCGAATGACGCCTCTTTTCGAAGCTCGCGAACTGCGATGAGGACAAAATCTGACTCGGTAGTGTGCAAACTGATTGGGAAGGGCAATTGATGAATGCAATTAATCATTTCCTTATCATTTCCTTTCAGAATAAAGCTATGAGGTGACATGACAGCAACGTAAAATGACAGCCAGACTTATCGTATCCAATCCAATCCAGGCGCACCTATTTAGCTCTAGTCTCTCCATAATCTGATGAACTAACGGTACAGTATGTAGCACGTTGTCGTCGCCCCCCGGAACTTTCCACACAACTTGGAACTTATATGCTGCCGAATCCCACTAATGTGTCTACGCTGCTTTGCAACTGCTGACACCGTTTCTGGAACCACGATTATATACAACCAAGGTCCGATGTAGGTACTCCAACACAACCAAGGGGAGCACCACTACCCACCCATACAAATAAATGGTCCAGTGCAAGGCCGACAAAGAACCACCTGAGATGAGAATACCGTAAGGAGTCACGAAAAGAGCACAGTGCAGGAAATGGGAGAAAGAGGAAACGAAGTTTCGAGTGAAAAATCGGAGCAAGATGCTGCAAGAACGTAACCGTCCAGGGCTAACCACACTCCCACTCCTCAGAGGAGCCGTTTCCCTGAGACGGGCAGTGCAAGCAGTGCTCAGTACAACTGCACGATGAGCCCATGGGCCTATTCATGACCAACTTCCCCACGCCACCCATGCTGCCGTTTCTCCACAATTCCACAATACCCTACCTTGATTCGAAAGGCACAGCAACAGCAGCAGCATCAAGCAATATCCTCCTCTCCCACTGTCAGCCAGTCGGTCTTATCCGACCCGCTACCGCTGCCACTGGCGCTACTATTGCCCCCGTCTCTGCTCTTCCCCTGCACGTCCACCCACTCCGCCCCCTCACCATCCCTAGGCGATCCCTCCTTAGAGCCTTCCTTGCTCACCTCCGTTGCCCCTCCCTTCCCCGCCTCCTTCCCCGCCTCCTTGCCCGCCTCCTCCCCCGCACCTCCCCCACTCGCAACAACACTGTCTTTATCCCCTGCCTCTTCAGCAGCCGCAGCAGTATGAGCAGCAGTATCAGCCGCAGCTGTTGCCCCTGCAGGGCCTTGTGTCTGCTCGCCCTGCACAGCACTGCTGCCATCAGCGCTCGCCCCCTCACCTGCAGCAACAGCAGCCACATTCTCTCCCTCAGTGTCATCTTCACCATCCAAATCACCATCCAAATCACCATCCAAATCACCATCCAAATCACCATCCAGATCATCATCAAGATCATCAATCCCGTCCCCTGCTCCAGCTGCTCCTGCTTCTGCTGCTGTCGCTGCTGCTGCTTCGCTGCTTCCCGCTTGCACCCTGCTACTGTCTACCTTAGCCTTCTCCCCCTCCTCATCCTCGTCCTCCAAGTCACTGAAAGACACATCCTCCCCATCATCCACCCCTCCTGCTCCTCCTCCCACTGCCCCCCCTCCCCCTCCACCACCCAGCACCCCTCCACTCTCCTCCTCCAGCCAATCATCATCCACATCCTCATCCCTCACACCTGCGACTGCTGCTGCCACGTCAGCACTGCTCCCGGCTGCCTCACCCGCCCCCTTTTTTCCCTCCTCTCCCACCTGGTGCAGTGCACTCCCTGCCTTAACCCCCTCTGCCCCTTGACCAGCAGCAGCATCAGCAGCGGTGGGAGCAGCATCAGCGGAAGGGGATGGGGAGGGCGAGTCTCCTGCCGTGCCTGCTGCAGACTGCTGGCGTAGCGCTGCCAATACCTGGTCCCTGGCTCTCAGGATCTGACACATGCACGCGGACGGCGGAGCAGAGCACAGGGGCGAATGGGAGAAGCGACGTTGAAGGGGATAACGGGCGCAAGGAGGGGTGGGGTTGGGAAAAGGGGGGAGAGGAGGAGGTCAACAAGACAATGCTGGCAAGAATCAGCTTGTAGAGATGAAGGCGAAAAAAAAGACGAGGCTTAGAATGAATGGCAGCAATGAATGCATGAAGAATAAGCACGGAACACACTCGGGCACAGGATACAGAAGGCAAGGGAGAGGAAATGGCACAATATTGCACGGCATTGCATGCACGTCACGGCAAGCCACGGCACGGCATGGAGGGGAGGGCAGGGCAGGGCAGGGCAGGGCAGGGCAGGGCAGGGCAGGGCAGGGCAGGGCAGGGCAGGGCAGGGCAGGGCAGGGCAGGGCAGGGCAGGGCAGGGCAGGGCAGGGCAGGGCAGGGCAGGGCAGGGCAGGGCAGGGCAGGGCAGGGTAGGGCAGGGCAGGGCAGGGTAGGGCAGGGCAGGGCAGGGTAGGGCAGGGTAGGGCAGGGCAGGGTAGGGCAGGGCAGGGTAGGGCAGGGCAGGGCAGGGCAGGGTAGGGCAGGGCAGGGCAGGAGCATCACGGGGGGCGTGGAGAGGAGATTGGCAGCAGCGGGCGGGATGCGGGAGTGCAGCAGCACGAAGTAGATCTTCCAGAAGCGGCGCTCGCTGAGGTGCTGCGGGGTGAGCTCCATGCGCAGCGCCACCAGCCGCGGCACCCTCGCCTCCACCGCCTCTATGTGCTCCTCCTGCGACCCCGCCACCTCGAAGTCTGGGGGAACGGGGGAAGGTAGGGTGTGGGGAAGGGGGAAGGGGGAAGGGGAAGGGGAAGGGGAAGGGGAAGGGGAAGGGGAAGGGGAAGGGGAAGGGGGGAAAAGGAAGGAGGGTGAGGGTTCAGGGGGAGGAGGCACCCGCGCCTCCACCGCCTCTATGTGCTCCTCCTGCTCGCGCTGAACCTTGAAGTCTGGGAGGTGGGGGTGAGAGGGAAGGGGAAGGGGAAGGGAGTGTAAGGTAGGCCGGGGGAGGTGGAGTTGGCGATTGGGAAGGGAGAGGAAGGAGGAGGGGTAGGGGGGTGGGAGGGAGATGATGGGGAAGAGACACTGAGTGAGTGTGTGAGGAGAGCAAACGGTTCCGCACCTCCTGCTCGCCGTGCTGATACACGTCTAGAGCAGAGTGGAAGGGGTAAAAGAGGAGGGGCAGGGTGGAAGGGATTGGGGGGGGAAGAGTGAGGCCCAACGTGCCAGTGACCTTCAATGTGCGGGCCTGAGCGCAGTACGGGATGTGGGCTGTGAACTTGGACTGCCGTGCAGGGAGGGACGTGTGCGAGGGGAAAACGAATGCGGACGCGTGACAAGATGTGATAACGGCGGTAGTACGGAGTGGTTGGAGACTGTGGCGCATACGGACACGCACGGGGCAATACAGTGTGAGGGTGGTAGGAGGAACAGTGCGCGGGGCAGAAACTGTGCGACAGCGAGCAGCACAGGCGCCCGCGGCCAGAGTGCTACAGGGAGGGCAGCGCCGAGCGATCGCGATGAACGTGGCAAGAACACGCGAGGCAGCACAGGGAGAGGGAGAGGGAGAGCGCGGGCAGAGATCGCGGCAGCGAGGGCGCGGGGCATCTCACCTTCCTCCTCGTCCTCCTCGTCTGGCAGAGGGAACTCGATCCACGTCTCGGGATGCCCCGACAGGTTCTGCGCGAACTGCACCACGTCCGCCGTCACGCCCACCGCCACCTCCGCCTCCCCGAACTCCTCCCCCTCCCCCATCCCCGCGCCCGCGCCCTCCGCGTGCTCCCCGTCTCCGCCGGAGCCCTCCGCGCGGCCGAGCTGCGCGTCGGTGGCGGCGAAGAGGCGCGACGCGAGGCGGCCGACGCCCGTGATGCCGGTGGCGAGGGTGCTGGAGATGGCTTTGATGTCCTCCTGCGCCGCCTCTAACAGCGTCTCGCCCCCGTCCTCCTCCTCCTCCCCCTCGTCCCCCTCTTCCTCCTCGTCCTCCTCCTCCTCTTCTCCTCCCTCATCCTCTTCCGCTCCATCGCTGTCGTCGTCTTCTTCGCCCCGCCGCGCTTTTCCTCGTCCGCCTGCTCGCGCGCCCTTGCCGGCGCCGGCGGCGGCGTCGTCGCCCGTCACCACGCGGATCACGGACGTCAGCCCGCGCTTCACGCGCTGCGACAGCTCCGCCAAGTCCTCGCGCACCCCCGACAGCCGCGCGTGGCGCGCGCTCGCATCCTCCTCCGATTCCTCCCCCTCCGCTCCCCCCTCACCCGCCCCTTGCGCATCTTCCGCGGCACCCCCCCGGCCTGGCGGCGGCGCAGCAGCGGCGGCGCCGGCTTTGCCTTTCTCCTTGTCCTTGTCCTTTTCCGCCTGCCGCGACAACTCCTGCCGCCATCGCAGCGCGCGCACCTCGTCGCGCGACAGCCCCGCCGTCTCCTCAGGCGACAGCGGCGCCGGCGGGTCTAGCGACGCCGCGTCGTTCGCGGAGGCGGAGGCTGCGGCGGAAGCGGAAGCGGAAGCGGAAGCGGAAGCGGAGGCGACGGGCGGGGGAGCGGAGGGGACCCGGCGGGGTTCGCCTGTGAGGAAGGAGGCGACGCCCCGCCAGTGCTTGGTGAGCGACTGCTGCAGCTCCGTGAGGTCGTCGCGCACCCCCGCCGCTGCCGCCGCATCCCGCGCTGCGCTGTCGGGGCTGTCGGGATTGTCGGAGGAGCCGGCGGCAGGAAGGAGAGTGTCGTCGTTCTCTTCGTCAACTTCGTCGTCGTCGTCGTCGTCGGCTCGCGGACTGCCGACGAGAGAATTCAGTAACCAGGACATGACGGATGGCGGACGCGGAGCGGTTGGAGAGCAGACCGTAAAAGAGTTGGGAGTGGCCAAAGAAAAGGAAGACAAGAAGATAAAAGAAAACAAGAGAGAAAGAAACGAACGAGGGCGCACGAAAAAAAAGAGAACGGGGGTTCAGCACCTCCCACGCCCCGACGTGCTGTCGCTAGTGCTGCTGCAGTCGCAGACAGCCAACTATGATGTGATCGACTCGTAAAGGGCAGGTTTAGTTGACTAGTCTCAGCTGATATGCGGGAATCTAGGTAGAGAAGAGGACGCGCAGTGGACACGGAAAGCGGCCATGGATGCTGAAACCCTAACTTGCTCTGAGGGCGGGTCCAACTTTGCACACTCCCGTTTTTTTCGTAATTTTTACGTCAACACACAGTGCGGACTTTTGACGAAGTACAGTAACTTTGCGAGGTACAGTGCCTGGGAAGAGTTGTTACCAAATGTGCGACGGTTTCCGCATCTATGGCGAAAGGGTTTTGGCGAAAAACGGGCGTTACTGTTTGACGACTTTGACGGGAAGCGATTTCGGAGACGAACCTTCGGATGTGTTCCGCACGTCCAGGGGAAGTTTCCGAAATGAGCTCATTTATGTACAGTCTCGCGTCAGGCGAAGTTTTTACGTTAAAAGTTCTGTTACATGCTTAAAATTGGTAACTGAGCTGAAAATTTACCGTACATGTGCAAAGTTTGACCCGCCCTGAATCTCCCGCTTGAATTGGGAATCCTGTGCACATCCCCCTGCTCGCTAACAGGCTCCTCCCAACTTAGGGTACGTTCTTGGCTGGTGTCTAGAATCTTGACACCAAGCTCTTCAAGGTTGGGATTTGGGTAGATTTTGACGATGGTGGCGTGGAATCATCGAAATCGTCCATTTGCCTTGTGTCAGCGAGCCTGACACCAGCCAAGAACGTGCCCTTACTTGCGTACCATCCATGTAGACGCAAACGTGTCGTGTTATGAGTTGTAATGAAAAGAGTGCGCAGGATTCAATAACGCGGAAGTGAATACAACTACCTCAACGAATAATGAAGCCTAGCTAGGTCGAGGTCGTGGGACCGCGAATGGTTGGGTGCAGGTTCGGGGTTGGGAATCCCGAAAGCGACGCGATGGTGGTTCGGAGGGCGAGGTCATCGGACCGAGCCAGAACCCCGAAAGTTGGAGTTGTACGCGTACAGTGTGACTCAGTAAGGAATAAGGGGAAATTCCTTACACTACCCCCCCTTTTTACAATCCCAAGTGGGACTTAGCAAATGATCGTTCTCAGGATTGATCGCAGGGTAGTGTTGCAGCGGAGAAGTTGACCTCAGGTCAGAGTGTATGTAAATGACTGACATAATTAAAAAGCATGCATACATCGAGTTTATATATAGAATACAGGGAATACGAAACGACCTAGACTAGCCATGTACTCAAAGGGGTACATTCCTTTATCACAGCGAAGTCGAACCGTGCGGCACGGTAACCCGTTTCAAACCTGTTCCCGCTCTTTTCACTTCAAATGTTTCTGCCTGCATCGGTCTTTATCAAACGGTTACCGGTGTCGCTTCGACTCTTCTGACTCCTCGCCTTCGTACTCGGTAGAGTCGGCTCTTGCATCATACAGGAATGTGTTACTCATTTTTCATATCGTAACACTCCCCTTCATTCCTGGTCGCGCAGAGGGCTGACTCGCTTGACTAATCCGGTAAGGTTGGAGCAGTGCTGGTACTGCTGACGTGGCAGTCGCTTGGTGAGGAAATCAGCTGCCATCTCGGTGGTGGGGCAGTACGTGAGGTCAACCTTGCCCTGGTTAATTTCGTCCTTGGCGAAAAAGTATCGAAGCGCGATGTGCTTCGTGCAGTTGACGAACCATGGCTTGTTCGCGATCTTGATGGCGCTCTGGTTATCGCAGTGGAGGCGAAAGGTGGGCGAAGTTGAGATTTTCGCTTCCTGCAGCAGTTCCTGTAGGTACAGACCTTCACGAACTGTTGCTGTCGCGGCGGTGTACTCTGCTTCGGCCGATGACAGGGCAACCAGCTCCTGCTTTTGCGAGTTCCAGGAGATTGGTCCCGTTGGCTCCAGGCGAAAAACAAAGCCGGTTCAGAACCGTCGATTTGCAGGATCAGCGGCATGATCTGCGTCCACGTAGCCGTTGAGATTGAAGGAGGTTGTCGTCAGCGTGGAGTAGGAGAGCCCGATGTCAGGTGTGGAGATGAAGTACTGCAGGGCGCGCTCCAGGTCCAGCTGGTTCTCAGCTACTGGCTTGCGAGAGTACTGTGCCAGTTGGCTGGCGATGTACGAAAGGTCGGGTCGGCAGGAGACGGAGGCGAACAGCAGACACCCCAGTTTCTGCTTGTACATTTGGAGTCCTGCGGGCGACAGAGGTTTGTTGTCCGGTTTGTAGTTGGCGCTGGGGTTGCAGTAAGGAGTTGAGAGTGGTGTGGGCGAAATGTTGAAGCGTTCCCCCAGCTGCTCTGCGTACTTGGAAGCTGGCAGATGAATTGCTTCTAGCGCGTAGGTGATGTTCCGGCCCAGAAACTGCGTGACGCTGTGGTTGATGGTGATGTCAACGCGTTGTGCCAGGTTCTCTTCGAACTGATTGAGGAGTTTGTTGCAGGTGCCGGTGTACAGCAGGTTGTCGACGTAGACGGTCAGGAGGATGTAATCGCCGTTGAAGTGGAGGCGGTACATTCCCGCGTCGTGCGGCAGCTGCCTAAAGCCAATTTCAAGGAGGATTTTGTGCAGGTGCTGCTGCCAGAGACGTGGCGCCTGCTTTATCCCGTAGAGGGATTTCTTCAGCTGGCAGACCCCATAGGTGTGTGGGGATCTCCTTCCCCATAGGTGTGTGGCTGTTCCACAAAGATGGTTGCATCCACCAGCGCGTACAAAAATGCGTTCTTGACGTCAATCTGCCACAGTGGTAAATGTTTAGCGGCGGCAATAGCGAGTAGAATCCTGACGGATGTGTGACGGCCGACGGGAGCGAAGGTTTGATCGAAATCAATGCCGTGGCGCTGGTCGTACCCACGTACGACCCAGCGTGCCTTGAAGCGCTCGATAGTGCCGTCAGCATTGGTTTCCAGACAAAAAAACCACTTTCCACTTAGCACCCTTCTCCCCTTCACTGCTGCACGGTCGACTAGAACCCACGTGTCGCGTGATTCCAGCGCCTTCAGCTCCGCGTCCATGGCTGCACGCCACTCCTTAGCATGGGGGCCGGTTAGGGCTTGGCGCGGATTCTTGGGCTCGACGGCGCGCGTGAGAGTAGTGACCGACGTGTGTAGGCCAAGGAGCTGTAGACCATTGACATTGGAGGCGCCCGCGGTGTCCGTGGTGGTGACTTCCACCACATCGTCATCGTCGCTCTCGTGGGCGGGTGTGGAAGTGCTTGGCTGAGAGTGGCAACGTGATGGTCCTGGCGCGGGAGCGTCGTCGCTGTCATCGTCGTCGTCGTCGTCGTCGCGCGGACGAGGTGGCACGCCGGGATGTTCGTCGGCGGGGTCGCGGTCAAATGCTACTGCTGCTGCCTCGTCTTCCGGAGATGCAAAGCTGCGGCCGGTGTTGGCGTAGGCACGTGCGACGTTGCGACGCTGGTCCTCGATCCACTGCTTCAAGGTGAGTTGCTTGTAGAAGAGGATGTCGCGCGCAGGTACGATCTTGTTAGTGTCGATGTCGAGAATTAGCCACCCCTTGTACTCGTGGCTGAGTCCCAAGTGCAATCCCCAGCGTGCGCGGTGAGTAAACTTGCCGGTGGTGGCCAAAGTTGGTCGATACTGCACCACACATCCCCAAACCCTCAGCATGGAGGTATCTCCCCTTGAGCCGGTCCACTTCATGTGCGGGGAGAGGTTGCCCCTGTTGGCCGTGGTGGAGAGGAGGTTGTGCAGGCGCACGGCGTGGTTCATGGCGTACAGCCAATATTTCTTGGGTAGGCCGGACTGGTTCATGAGAGCGCGCACTTTCGTCATGAGAGTGGGGTTAACCCTCTCAGCGACGCCTTGCTGCTGGTAAGCGTAGGGGAGAAAGATCTGATGCTTGATCCCTTTCTTTGCGAGAAGTCCTTCCAGCTCGTTGCTGCGGAACTCCTTGGCGCCGTCAGTCTGCCAGAATTTCAGCTTCTTCCCCGATTGTCGTTGCGCGTGTGCGAGCCAGATGCGGAAGATCTTAGGAGCCTTGGAGCGAACGTCGACGTTGGCGATCCAGACGTAGCGTGAGTACGCATCCACGAAGGTGAGCGTGATGTTTTCACCGTTGATGCCTTCGAAGGTGAGCACGATGAAGTCGCTGTAGACCTTCTGCAGCTTCTTGTAGCGGTTGGTGCTCGGCTCTAGTGAGGGGTAGGCTTGGTGCGTGAGAGCAGCTGTGGGGCAGACGGTGCAGGTGGTTGGGTGTGAGGTGCTGAGGGGTTCCGTGCCATCGGGACGCAGCACTGCTCTTGGTAGAAAGACTTTGGCGCGGAGGCAGTTGTTGAACGTCTGGAGCGAGGGATGTCCGAGTCGCTGATGCCAGAGATCCTCTTCTGCGCGAATTCCAGGAGTGCGCAGGTAACGTGCGTGGTACTCTGCTGCTTCTTCTTCTCTTTCATACGGGATTTCCAGCACGTGTCCTTCTTCTCCTAGCTCTGCTTCGTTGTCCTCCTCCTCTGCTTCTGGTTCCGCAACAGTCTCCCCTTCTGCAGGTGCTGTTGTGAGGTAGAGCGCGAGGAAGTTGCGGTCGGAGTCCTGGTGCCCTCAATGAAGCGGGCGAATGGATATGGGTGGGAGATTGGTCCAAGTGAGTCGCGTGGCGGAGTTGCTGGTATGTTCCCCTCCTCAATCTCCGACCAGGGGGATTCCCAGGTGTAAGGTGAACGGGGAGGTGAGGGGAGGTTCCGCGGGCGAAGTACGAGCGGGACAATGACGCGTGGTGATCGCTCTCGGCGCTCGGCAGCCATTTCTCGCTCGATTGCTTCTTCCTCTTCTTTGGTGAGCGGGGCATCCGCATAAGTATTGTCGCCCCATCCT